GAGCAAATGTGAAAACTACAGAGGCATTACACTACTGTCAATACTGTCAATACTCTTGATGGCAAAACTCTGGAAGATGTAGAATCCTTCACATACCTGGGAAGCATCATCAATGAACAAGGAGGTTCAGATGCAGACGTAAAGGCGAGGATCGGCAAAGCAAGGGTCGCATTCATACAATTGAAGAACATATGGAACTCAGAACAACTTTCAAACAATATCAAAGTCACAATCTTCAATACGAACGTCAAGGCAGTTATACTGTATGGAGCTGAAACTTGGAGAACTACAACAACCACAATCAAGAAGGTACAAGTATTTATAAATAGTTGTCTACGCAAGATACTCAACATCCATTGTCCGGATATCATCAGCAACAGAATTCTGTAGGAGAGAACAAACCAGATTCCAGTTGAAGAGGAAATTAGGAAAATACGATGGAAGTGGATAGGACATACATTACGAAAATCATCAGACTGCTTCACGAGGCAAGCACTAATTTGGAATCGTGAAGGGATGCGAAAAGGAGGAAATCGAAAGAACGCATTACTTTGGGAAATAGAAGCAGATATGGAGAGGATGAATAACAACTTGAAAGAGCATGAAAGGAGTTTCCAGGACAGGGTTGGATGGCGAATGCTAGTGAGCAGCCTATTCTTCTTCACGAGGAGTAACAGGCATAAGTAAGTAAGTAAGGTAAATATAACTGGATTCTATCAAAAACTTTATTTTTTTAAAGTACTAGTTTGTGATCGGTCATATCCAGCCTAACCATTAAAAGTAAATTATATAAAAATATAACTTTTTGAATATTTCCTGATAGCGATAGACAGTTTTGCAGAAATAGTACCTTACTGGTCACTACGAAACAATATACTTAACTAAAATCGTAGATGGTTAAGAGTTTGTTAGAATCATACAATACAGTTCTGTTACTGTACCACTGTGTTAATACTATTCTCCATGTATTATTATTGAGAACGGCTTATACTTTCAGAAGTTTGAAGTAAACAAATTTACATAATTACGCCAAAAAATCATAGAATAAAATGACGTTTTCTTTGTCTATATACACCATTGCTTATTATGGAATTATACCAACTTGAGTGTAATAATGGTGGAACTAATCCGTGTCGGGTAGAGATAGGTATCTACCTCAGTACAATGAAAGTTGGTCGCACAATTTTGTGGATTGGTTGAGGTTAGACATTAACACAGTTGGATGCTGATTGAGCGATTTAGAGGTTAAACGTTCGTGCGCGAGACTGAAGGCCCTGGGTTCGAACCTCTCTGGCGGGATCCTGGATGCATACTGCTGAAGAGTCCTACAATAGGATGAAACGGTCGTCCAATGCTTCCAGGTTTTCACTGGTGTTCTAACATAAATCGGTTCATGATTTTAATCAAAAACTTAATAATCTCCACAATCCTATAGTGATAATACTATTTTACCTAATCTGTTTCTATACATCGTACTAACATATAAATGATATCAAACTATATTGTGAAATAATTTGATAAGAATAAGACTATTATATAAATACCACTCAAGTTGACTAAGCATGAATTCAATTAGTACCATGACAATGTAACATGTTTTAACATGAAATATTACATAACATCAAAATAGCTCATTTGAGAACAAATGACAAACACTCACTTTTTCTTCTTTGTTATTAGCAACATATCATTAAATAATATTAAATAGAATGTATTTGGTTTACGAATAGTTAACTTTTGTAATACTGACATACGTCCATTTTCTGATAAACATTCACGAAGTTCACCTTCTTTAATAAGACGTTTATCACTAATTGCTATTCGCTAATTCAATGAAAATATTTGTTATAAAATATAATCAAGGATAGAATTTAAAAAAAAATGATTCTTAACAATCAATCTAATTTTAATAATTTAACTGAAAAACTGGATAAATGAAATGAATAAACACGGGGTACTGGGACATTAAATGATATAGGATATTGTATAAGGTCAATTTTGATGACTAGTTAGTTATCACTGCTAATGATTGAATAATATTTGACAATATTAGGCAGTGATCGGCTAAAATAATTGATCTGAAATTATAAGGTTATGTATGTGATTACATCATTCCCAGTAACATTTAGTTGAACTGAATTGACAAACCATATGTATCTATTAAGTCTCTTCCTTTAATATTGTCAATTAAACAGAGCCTTTCACTTGTTGTCCTTAGTTATTTAAACTGAAAATAACCAGAAAAAGATTTCCAGATAGTTACTTGAAACTATTATTCCTTTTAAATTGTGTAATGTAAAAAACAATTTCGATAAGGAATGTAATAAATTGAAGATTAAAATTATATAGCCCTGAAACATTTTGACGATCTGTGTACGCCAAACAAGTGAATACTTCTTTCAATGATTAATTTTAATTCTGTCATGTTCGAAAATATAGGAGATTATCCGATTCTATTTGAAGGTCAACACGTAGAACCTTGACTTTAATTGTTCTTCTTATTGCCATATGTAATCTAAAACATGGATTATCTCGTCCTATCTTAGTAAAACCAGTAGAACATCCAGGTTTTAACGAAATACTGGATGATCATTAACATCAAGTATGGAATATCTTTTATCATAATGAAAAACACGATTCAGTATGGTACACTGAAGATTTGAAAGGCATGGATCAATCTGGAGGAACTTGGCGCTAGTTTTTTTAGTTTTAATTTTTGTATTGGTTTTACTGAATGAAAATTCTATATAAGTAGTACTATGGTTACATTATATGTCTATGGTTGATAAAGAGGCACATACAAAAACCAGTACCATCTAACGCCACTAACGCTGTTTTTTCACAACATTACTCTCACAGTCGTAATGACTTGCGCTAAACATCTTTTGTAGACACAAGCGTTCGTATTTAGAATTAGTGCGATAATTAATGTATGCTACAAAGTCATGATATTTATGGTCATGTTAATTTAGGTTATATTGCTACTTCACGATTCCTTGATTGAACCTCTGAAAGTTATTTAGCAAAGGGATATCCGACACCGTAGAGTATAATCCAAGTTCATGTTTACCGATCCTATATTTTCTTGTTTTTTGCCTGAATTCTTGCAAGCGAAAGTTATATTTGTTCTAAGTTTCTGATTACTTTCTGAATTTATTTAACTTTTGGCTTATTTGAACTCGGTTTTATAAATACATAATGTGAATTCTGTTCAAATACATTTATGTTGTTCATCTACAGCGATACCTACAAGTGGCCATTACATTATCAATAGTTTCAAGTAGAAAACATAATTGACAGAAGTTGGTCAACATATCCTATTCATCCTATATCAGTCAAGACAGAAATGAATTGTTCCGCACAAACATAAAAGCACAAAAATAGAACACAAACAAGTTATGTGAGATATTGTAATCTTACCTTAACATTGTCTGGAAATTCAAGAGAAGAGGATAGTGTAAGGAGTCGAGATTTTCTGTCCATAAGTTCTTTTTCAGTCTCACTTGCAGTTAGAAGCTAGGTAGAAACATTTTGAGCAATTACTTCTGCTACTAGAAATCGTTTTAGTAGTCAAATAATATTTTGCGAAAAAATATTTACTTTTCTGATGAATGACATCGAAAATATCGGTATAGTAGTATAAAAAAGCAATAAGCAGAAGGAATGTGTATATATTGCGAGGAGTTGGCAAGTATTTACATAATAAATAAAAATAGCCTTAAATCGTCTTTTGAATCTTACAGTGTGTTCTGCCATCTTATGTTGTTTTATCATCCGGTCTCCAAATGTTCCGTTAACGCCGTGCTTTCGACATACTGAAATACTTCATTCCATCTGAAAAGTTTACCGGCTGATTTGAATATTTCTACTTTTAATGTGGTCGACGAATATTTTAACCTTAAGCAGCTTGGTTAATGTTTGTTTATTTATTATACGAAATACCACAGTTTCGTTACTATTGGAACGTAGTTGTTGTTCATTTTGACTTAACTGGAATAAATGCCAGTTTTCGATATTTGAGCTTTAAATCTTTTGAGTCTTATTGCTTATAATCTATACAATGACGTTTATAATGGCTTATTGTTGAACTATTAATTCTGAGTGTTTTACTGAAAGATCTAAATTTGTGAAAAAAAACCAAACTCTTCAAATTTTATCTGCTGCGGTTACATCAGTTATGAGAGAAACAGTATCAGAAGGGGTTTTGTGGAGATTGTAATAATTTCAGTAGTTGAGATCATGAGTCAATTAAAGTTAGACCACCATGGAAAACATGGAAGCACTGGACACTCGTTTCGTCCCATTGTCGGACTCCTCGGCAGTGCACATCCACAACCCTGCCTAGCTAGATTCGAACCAAGGACCTGCCATTGTGTATCGCTCAATTTCATGGAACAGTATCAGTTTTAAAAAATTGACCGACATTCTTTTTTAATATTTCCCTTCTAGACTTTATCATTTATCTGATAATTGATCATGTTCAACTTATTTTGTCTGTTGTTTTTACATGAAACACTTTAATAAAAATCATTCAGCAGGTATTCATAAACTAAAAAATTCAATCACCTTCAAAAGGTGAACATTTCATAAGAGTGTAATATTATCACTATTTATTTTAAAAGTAGTATAAGTCTTTAGTGAAAAACATTCTAACACTATATTACTTAGCTTTCTTATAACAAAGGCTCAATTCATTATTTTTTAAAGTTTGGTAACAAAATATTTTTGATTACATAACCAATTTGGAGTTAAATAATTTACATGTTTTTAGGTAAGTTTCATTTTGACAATATTGTAATGAAATAATTACATGAATATAAAAACATTATGGTGCAAATATATCAATATTTAACTTTACAACAGCAAGATCTGTATTATATCGTCAATGAATTATAAGATTCGTGGATACGAACTGCTCAGTCCCATATAATGACAAAACTGTCATCCAGTGATTTCAGGTTTTCCATGGTAGTCTACCATTGATAAGTTTATGATTTCAATCAATATCCAATAATTTCCACAATTCTATATTGAAAATTATTAGAAGTTAAAATTCCCAATTTTCTGAAATTTCCAAATATCCCTTAAGAACATGTGTATATCACAATTATTATGAAGGTTGTTGTTATATCCGGTGAAGATTAAATTACAGGTAACTTCCAAGGACTATTCATGGACTAATATTCTATAAATATTCTTATTGTATAACTACTCAACAATTTCACTATGTATATTTATATTCCTTTTATGATAAGCTTTATTTTGACCTATAATTTATTATTGTACGATTTACGGTTCTTAAGTTATGTTCAGTTTATTAACTACTGCCTCCCACATTCACAGCCACTTTTTGGGCTTATTTGTGTACAAATATTATTTCCTATTTTATGGTACGTTGCGGTCTGTCTGATTGATATATAAACCAAGTATGCCTGAAATAAACGATTCGATTCATATTACGGAAGGTGGTATTGTGTTCTGGACTCAAGTGGAAGGGCTTGGAGGACATAGGACCAATAAGGACGCTAAACTGCCCACACCGCTTGAACGTCGTTGGTTGGCCTAGTGTGAAGATTCGTATAAGTCGTATTCCGATTGGTAGATAATTTGTGTGATAGAAAAAGAACAGACGTCAAGGTCATAACAGTTGTGGCAGTTGTTGACCTTGGAAATTACAAAAATCTTTTAAAAACTAATATGTTTGATTAAATTAAAGTGTCAATGGGCATGGAGTTGTTCCTATCTCCTAACGAAATAGGTTATATATATATATCAATTAAACAATAAATAGATGGGAAATATATCTAATGGTTAGATATACACAGTTTTTAATTTAATGGAAAGATTATCAGTACGAAACCTAGACTACAGAATACATAGGTGTATGGATGCATGTAGTCAATATTTGTGTTCATAATACTATCATATATATATGCACATATGTATTCCTATATATGTATATAAATGAGTGTCGAATTTGTGGAGTAAATCAAAGCGACAGAATAAGATAACTTAATTCAATAGTTAGTTTGTCTTATACTTTCACTGATAATTAGATTTTGGCCCCCAAATGCCCTGATATGGCCGAGAGTGGGGTGGGCCCGCCCTCCCGCTCGAAATGCTCTCACACGGCCACGCGTATACAGCCTCTGCCAGGGAGGTCCTACTTATTGCCTTCTCGTGGCGGGGGTGTTGTTTACGAAAATGAGAGGACGAAAAGCGAATGTCCGGCGCTTTAACCGGATTCCAAACCAATGATGCACATGGGCTTCAGTATCCTGCGAGAGCAAATGGTCACCGGCTACCATGGGACGGCATCTCCTCACGATGCTCCACTGCCTTGGGGATCAGACCTTCAGGTCGAAGGCTCGGGGTGTGGCCCCTTAAGATAACCACCTGCTTCGGTCTGGGCATCCGAGCAGTATCACATTCCACACACAAATTTGATGAACTGTCGATAATTATGGAAAATACTTTTCTTGCTTCAACTATTAATCAAACGATTCACATTATTATTATTACTATTGTTATTATTTATCACGTCATTTATTCACTCTCTTTTATTCCTGCTCTGTCTATCCTTATTTTTCGACTTATAAAGCAGCTCGCCCATGGTGGAAATTCGGTTTTATCTAAACGTTCTCGAGTAGAGACGTTATCAGATATTGCTCAGAATAGAAGCCAGTGGCGATCCTGCTGTAACCTTTTACTTTCTTCATAAAAAGTGGTTGCTTCTTCCTTAACTGAAAGATCTCTTCTGAGTGTACGTTTCTGTTTCCCCCATTAATATTATTACACTACATTACACTAATCTGTTCGTTATTGTTTTTTTACTCTCCTTACCTTTTTTTTCCTTCTCTGCAAATTCTCATTGTTTTGTGTGGCGCATATATATTTGGTGCCCTTATGTACCAATATTTATGTGTTTAAATAAATAAATAAATCACTGATAATAATTTAAACAATACCATGTTCGGGAACTTAATTCCGCCTGTAGCTCTTATAGGGTTACTGCCGGTCCCAAGCTCGGGTAAAGAAGGAGGGTTGGGCATACGGTTAGCTACCCCATCCCGTAGAAAACTAACTCGCTAAGAAAACGCTTACCAGAAAAAATAATTCAAACCATTCAAACTCTACTCTGGGAGATAAAAGGTCTTTATTTAGAAGAAATATGACGCCTCATGATGAAGGCCGAGTTCCTTTGAAAGCCACTAGGACGATGCCCCTTCTAACAACCACAGCAACAAATTTTATAGGTACATGGAACGTCCGAACAATGTGGGAGACCAGGAAGACCAGTCAAATAGCAACGGAAATGATGAGATACAACTTAGCAGTACTGGGCATCAGCGAAACCCATTGGACCCAAGCTGGACAACAAAGGCTAGCTACGGGAGAGATGCTGCTATACTCCGGTCATCAAGAAGAAAATGCTCCACACACTCATGGAGTTGCTCTAATGCTGTCCAAAGTAGCACGAAATGCACTTGTAGGATGGGAATCTCACGGATCCCGAATCATCAAAGCATCATTTGAAAGAAAGAAGGAGGGGATCACAATGAATATTATCCGATGTTATGCACCCACCAATGATAGCAACGACGACATTGAAGATCAATTCTACGAGCGGCTGCAGTCAATCATTGAGAAATGCCCAAGAAAGGACCTAACTATTTTGATGGGAGATCTAAATGCCAAAGTCGGAATAGACAACATCGGATTTGAAGATATCATGGGACGACATGGATTGACTGGGAGAGAGAGACGAAAATGGATAAAGATTTGCAAATCTATGTGCATTCAACAAATTGGTCATAGGCGGCACAAAGTTTTCACACAAACGTATACACAAAGCTACACGGATCTCACTGGACCACACCGCAGAGAACCAGATAGATCATATTTGCATCAATAAAAAGTTCCGAAGCACAATGGAAGATGTGAGAACCAGGAGAGGTGATGACATTGCTTCAGATCATCACCTATTTGTAGCTAATTTAAAACTGAAGCTAAAGAAGAACTGGACAACTGGACAAGCATCACTACAAATGTTCAATACAACCTTCCTTCGAGATGCTGACATACTCAATGAATTCAAGATAGCTCTCAACAACAGGTTCCAAGCCATACAAGATCTACTGAGGGAAGAAGAAACGACTATGAAGGACAACTGGTAAGGTATCAAAGAAGCATTAACTTCAACGTGTCAAGAGGTTCTGTGTCTAAAGAAATACCATCATAAGGAATGGATCTCTACAGAAACACTGAACAAGATCAAAGAAAGGAAGAACAAGAGAACAGCAAATAACAATAGCCGAACACGAGCAGAGAAAGTCCAAACACAAGCTGAATACATAGAAGCAAACAAGCAAGTGAAGAAGAGCATTAAAGCCGACAAGAAGAAATACGTGGAAGAACTAGCAACGACGGCGGAGAAAGCTGTTAGAGAAGGATATATACGATACAACGAAGAAACTAGCGGGGAGATATGGTAAACTAGAGAGATCGGTCAAAGACAAAGAAGGCAGGCCGATCGCTGAAATTCAACAACAGTGGAGCAGTTGGGTAGAATACTTCGACGAACTCCTGAATAGGCCGGCTCAAATGAATCCACCGGACATCGAAGCAGCACACACAGACCTTCCTATAGATGTCAACCCACCAACGACGGAAGAAATTAGAATGGCCGTCAGACAAATCAAGAACGGGAAAGCAGCAGGACCCGACAACATACCAGCTGAAGCACTGAAATCAGATATCGAAGTAACTACAAACATGCTTCACCTTCTATTTAAAAAGATTTGTGAGGAGGAACAATTGCCGATGGACTGAAAAGAAGGATACCTCATCAAGATTCCAAAGAAAGGAGATCTGAGCAAATGTGAAAACTACAGAGGCATTACACTACTGTCAATACCAGGGAAAGTCTTCAACAGAGTGTTGCTGAACCGGATGAAGGATGCAGTAGATGCCCAACTTCGAGATCAACATGCTGGATTCCGTAAGAATCGATCGTGCACAGACCAAATTGCGACACTACGGATCATCGTCGAACAATGAGTTGAGTGGAACTCGTCACTATACATCAACTTTATTGATTATGAAAAGGCATTCGACAGTGTAGATAGAAGGACGTTATGGAAATTTCTTCGACACTACGGAGTTCCTGAGAAGATTGTCAATATTATCCGGAACTCATACGACGGACTTCAGTGCAAAGTAGTGCATGGAGGACAGCTGACAGATGCATTCCAAGTAAGGACCGGAGTCAGACAAGGATGTTTTCTCTCTCCCTTCCTCTTTCTTCTGGTGGTCGACTGGATTATCAAGACCTCGACATCTGAAGGAAAACACGGAATACAATGGACAGCTCAGAATCAATTAGACGATCTGGACTTCGCAGATGACCTAGCCCTCCTATCGCATACACACGAACAAATGCAGATGAAGACAGACAGTGTAGCAGCAATCTCTGCATCAGTAGGCCTCAGTATACACAAGGGGAAAACCAAGGTCCTCAAATACAACACGGAGAACAGCAATCCAATCACTCTTGATGGCAAAACTCTGGAAGATGTAGAATCCTTCATATACCTCGGAAGCATCATCAATGAACAAGGAGGTTCAGATGCAGACGTAAAGGCGAGGATCGGCAAAGCAAGGGTCGCATTCATACAATTGAAGAACATATGGAACTCAGAACAACTTTCAAACAATATCAAAGTCACAATCTTCAATACGAACGTCAAGGCAGTTATACTGTATGGAGCTGAAACTTGGAGAACTACAACAACCACAATCAAGAAGGTACAAGTATTTATAAATAGCTGTCTACGCAAGATACTCAACATGCATTGGTCGGATACCATCAGCAACAGACTTCTGTGGGAGAGAACAAATCAGCTTCCAGTTGAAGAGGAAATTAGGACAAGACAATGGAAGTGGATAGGACATACATTACGCAAATCGTCAAACTGCATCACGATGCAAGCTCTGACTTGGAATCGTGTAGGGAAGCGAAAAAGAGGAAGGCCAAAGAACACATTGTGTCGGATAATAGAAGCAGATATGAAAACGATGAATTACAACTGGGCGGAGCTAGAAAGGATTGCCTAGGTCAGGGTTGGATGGAGAATTCTGGTGGGCGGCCTATGCTCCTTCACGAGGAGTAACAGGCGTAAGTAAGTAAGTAATGTTCGGGAACTTAACTAAAACGTTAAAACATATAACATATTTTACGAACTGAATGTCATCCATAATCCTTTAAGCAATGATTGAATATAGTATAAGAAAGATTATACTTTACAATACCACTCATTATGAGTGTAATTCTATCACATTCAATTTTACATACACAAACACACACACAGCTAAAAATTGTAATGTGTGCTACTTATATTGACATAAGTAGTATATGACATTAGTCGTGAACAGAAGGTCTGGCAGCAGAGAGATAAGAGGATCGAACAGTAAAGAATGGAAACAGAATGCAACTTGTATGAAAATGCAAGAACAATGAAGTCTGAGTCATTTTGAGACAAATGGTGAACATTTTGCAAATTGAGCATTTACTTCATGATTGTTAGATTTTATTAACAAGTTCTATAGTTTTGTGTTGAGTACATTCGATTGTCCACCTCCGTGTCCTGTTCACTGAAAAATGACCGCTGAAGTAAATGTTCATCTACTATATATAGATAAACTATATTTCTTGTTAAAATATTTACTTGATGAACATTTGAATAACACATGTATTTTTTTACAAGTTTAGAATGACGGTTTTTGCATTATGAATAAGCTGATCATTAATATGCCTATAGAATATAATTTCGAATCAAAGTAGAAGCCATTTAACTCACTCGATTTAATTCACGAAGTGCAAGTTGTACATTTTCTCGTTCTCTAACACTTGGTACACGAAAAGGATGTTTTTCAAGTGTTTTATCTTTGGAATCTCGTACAACTGCATCTTGTAATCGACGTATAACTTCAACTAATAATTTTAAACGTGTTAATCTTTGCATTGGAAGTGCTAAAAACGAATTGATTGTATTTTTACCACTTATTGGATGAGCATGTAAATTATCTAATGCTGAACGAAAGTTTTCCCGTTGACTAAAACAAAACGAAAAATCAATAGAAAATTGAAAGGTTTTAGTAAGCAAAGACTAACTGTTTTTCTAAATTGAAACCAACCTAAGGATAATTCATTTGGCATTGTTTTTACTTGAATCTTCCCATTGCTGTCTTAGGACTGAAATTGATCAAGTAAAAACAATACCAAGTGAATTCAAATTCACCCCATTGTATGAGCAAGTGGATATCAAGACTCAGTAGCTAAGTGGCTAACGCGATGGCATTTGAAGCGAATGGTGCTGGGTTTGAGTCCCGG